GACTTTCTTTCTAATTTGGAGCCTATCAAAGAGCAATTACTTACAAAAAGTTCAATGAAATCATTCATTCTCTTGCACTTACCCATTAGATATGTTGGATCCTTACCAAGGGCAGTGCCCCCAGTGGTGGCGCACGCCTTTAACCCCAGCACTCAGGAGGCAGAGGAAGGTGAATCTATGAGTTCGAGGCCAGCCTGGTCTACAGAGTGAATTCCAGGAAGGCCAGGGTTACAGAGAAACCCTATCTCAAAAAAAGAAAACAAAACAAAGCCCTGAAAATCCAAGGGCAGGTCTATTGTGAGAGCATAGTGACTTGACATTTCTGGTGTTTTGAACAATTTGTTATTTCTCATCCTAAGGATTATTTCCTTATTAGCAATCATTTCCCCCATTTCTGGTAAAAGATTAATGAAGCAGAAGAATGTTAAAATCATGTGATGTTTTGTGCATTCAAGAAATACTATATAAGAGGTTTGGAAACAGATCTCTAGTTATTCATGAAGGGTTCATTGAGTATAGTTGGTAGATGAGATTTTAAAAATGTCTTACCTGTGTGTGCTGGTGGACACCTTTAATCTCATCACATGTGAGCCCGAGGCAGGCAGGGTTTCCAGAGCAAGTTCCAGCATGACACCCAGGATCACAGAGAAACCCTTTCTCAAACAAAAACAAACCCTCGAGTTTTTTTAGCCATGTATTTTTTTGAAGTGTGTGAGTGCTCTGCCTGCATGTATGTGAGCACCATGTGAGCTTATTGCCCATGTAGGCCAGAAGAGGGCAGTGATGTGCCTAGACCTGGGACGGGTGATTGTGAGCTGCTGTGTCGGTGCTGGGAATCAATCCTGGGTCCTTGCCAGGAACAGCAAGTGTTTTTAATTGCTGAGCCATCTCTCTAGCCTTGAATTCGGATTTTTTTTTTTTTTAAACAACTAAAATCTGCTGACAGTGGCAGAGGATATTACTACTGTGCTGCAGCATGACTTCGAGAAAGCGAACAAGCCCAGCGTCGGGCAGCAGTAGCTCGTCTCTGTGACCTCACACGTGCTGGCGCTCCTACGAGCGCAGTGCAGGTGTTACTAGTACAGATCAGTGTTGATCTGCCTCAGCCCAGGCATTTCACCGAGGCCAGTGTGAGATCGTTACTGAGGTGCTATGTTCTGCACGCTGTCTTTGGAAATCTCGCCAGTCTCACTGCTGGACCGCTTCAGTCAGTGCTGCCACGTTCAAGTGCTCAGCAGCGTTTTCTGACAGGTGGTTGAGTTCTGCCGCTTCGCTCTGGATTTTCATGATTGCGGTGACATTGATCTTGCAAGAATTGGAAATCGGGCATGGTGGCACAAGCCTGTAATTCTGCCACTTGGGCACCTGAGACAGGAGCAGTGCTGGTTGGAGGCCGGCTGGTAGTTCACATCGAGGTACAGACTAGCTTCAGAAACATAGACCTTTTCTCCAAAAACCAGATAGGTCTGGGGACAAGGTGCGGTGGGAGCTTGTGGTTTGCTCACATCCTGGGAGCTCATGTAAAGCTCAGCATGGTAGTGCATATCTGTGTTTGTTGTTTGTTTTTTGTTTTTTGTTTTTTTTAATTACTCTGTGTATATGGGTAGTTTGGCTGCATGTGTCTATACATCGTCCGTGTGCTTGGTGCCTGCGGAGGCCAGAAGAGGGCAGTAGCTCCTCTGGAATTGGAGTTACAGAGGTTGGGATGTTGGGAGTGGAACATGGGTCCTGGGAGAGCGGCTAGTGCTCTTAACTGCTGAGGCGTCTCTAGCCTCAGTGAACATCTTTAATCTCAGTGTACCTATAGCAAGAAGGGAGGCAGAGACAGGAAAATTCCTGGAAGGCCATTGGCCATCTAGCTTGGCATATGTAGTGACGAGCTTAAGATGGCAGGTCTGATGCAGCGGTCTGACCCCAAGGCTGTCCTCTGGCCTGCACAAGAGCAGCATGTCATATGTGTAATCACATGCATGATAGGCAGTTGGGGCAGAACAGTATTGTGTGCGCGCACATGCATGTGCGCATGCCTGTAGAGACCAGAAGGTACTCTCAGGTGCTACCCACTTAAGGCGGGTTCTTTGCTGCTGTGGCTGTGCAGTGAGCCCACGGAGTCCACTTGTCTTCCCAGTTACAAACGCGCCGTTATCCCTGGCTCTAGAACCTGTGTGTGTAGATATATGCGTGTGTATTTGTGTGCGTATATACGTATGTGTGTGTGCATGCGTAGTTTTAATTGGTCTGTGGATAGGAGTGTGCCTGTGCCACTTTCACAGTGTGTTGCCAGCCCCAACACAATGTCCACTTAAGGAGAAAGGGAAAGACGTGGTATTCTCAGCAGGAAGTCACTCAGCAGGAAGAACAGCATTTTCTAAGGTCATCATCTGCTTTGCAAAGACGCCACACGGCCGTTTCCTTCATCTTCTGTGGTATTTGTGGGCCACATTTAATTTTTAAGAGCATGGCAAGTAATGCAGCTGTTCAGGTAAGGAAAAGGCTGATGGCGAAGTGAATGTAGTCTTGTGTCGATCCCTTGGGTTTGTATTTGTAAACCTAACAGTGAAATTGTTTGTAATTACATTGAAAAGGAAATGTCTATGCTTTGTTCAACAAGATTCTGAAGTTTAAAAAATAATTGTATTTGTTTGTACAAACACAACAGCCAGAACTATTGATGAGTTTGAATGTATTAGGAATGTATCTTTGATTCTAAGTCAGTGTTTACAGTGAGATGTTTCAGATTTCACACGGTAGTTGTTGGGCTATTACGAGGTTATTTCCCAGTTCAGCTGCATCGCATCTTTCAACCTGAAAAATGTGAGCCAGGTGTGATAGCCCAGGCCTTTCATACCAGCAAACAGGAGGCACACGCAGGTGGATCTCTGAGTTCCAGGCCAGCCAGGATTGTATAGTAATTTATTTTTGTTTTTAGACTAAATCTGAAAAATGTTGGATAAAAATTGAGTTTGCTATCTTCATATTCTTCTGACTTACATTTGTATGAAGTTATTTTACATTATCATGTCATTCTTCGTCAGGGTTTCGTGGGCTACTGTATATGTCTCTGCGTGTGTGCATGCCTGCATATGTGATTCAAGAGTTGGAACCCAAGGGTTAATGAACTTTAGACTAGAAAAGTCACGAGGTCAGTGGATCTAGATAGTAAATCGTGACGGCTGTTTTCTTGGTATAACAGCATGAGTCAAGCGTGTGAGAAAAGTACAACGAGAATGACCTCTCCATTATGACTCGGTGTTACTTAATATTGCTCAAATGTTTCTCTGAACACCATCTCCCATACTGCCTAGAAGGTATTTCAACTATGTCCCAGTCTTAGGAAATGCTCTAGTAAGTGAGTGTTGCAAAAGAACAAATGATTGGACTTGGAGTTAACATGGCATACGTAACATATGCATCAAATTTTGTTCCTTTTCTAAAATTCTACTATGGTATGGTAAAAGAATTGTTAGAATACATAAATCTGTAAGCGGGGTTGCAATCAGTAACACACAGTTTGTGAGGCTGGAAAGCAGATGTTGGGTTGATAGGTTTAGCAGATTCCAGAGGCTGGTCCTAAGTTGAGAAAGGCTCTGGGTACCTTTACAGCCGAGGTTAGGCACACAAAGAAAGAAGGTCAGAGACCAGTAGGATCCTAGGTCCTCTGCTGCTAATTGTTCCTTTTTCACTCCATCCTAAGACCCATCTTCTAGAGGCTAGAATACAGGCCTGGACTGGGAGAGGCCTGGCAGTGTAGGGAGTGTGCACAAGATGAGTTCTGACCGCTGGGCCCAGCCCTTCTCACAGGGTGATCCAGGGACAAAGACTAAGTACCTTCCAGGAAGCCCGGCAGCTCTCAGGAGTTTCCACCCAGTCAGGAACCAGGCATCACCAGATTCCTGAGGTACGTCTCTAACATGGCTGACAGAGACTAAAAGAAGCAAAGGGAAGAAAGTATTAAAAAACAAAACAAATCCACAGAAATAGGGGATATTATATCCTTGAGCAAAAATACTGTGCTAAAATAAGAAAGAACAACAAGATGACACACAGGGCTTGAAATTCAAAACACGGTGTCTGGAATAATTTCACTCCTGGTGGTTGTATCTGTGGTGTGAATAAAGTGTGTGTGATGTGTTCTCCTCACTGAACAGTGTCTCACTATAGTAGGTTAATATCTTTCATCTTTACTTTTCGCTTCTCTTACTGCAATGACTGTGTTATTTTTAAATTATATTATTTGCCTGTGGCCTTTCACGAACCTCCAAGCTTTCATTTCCTGACTGTATCAACTGCAAATAAATCTCCTGTCCCATCTATCGCTGCTTGCTGGCACCTATCCTGTAGGTGAAACCTAATTTAGAATTAAGAAGAAAGTGAAAAATAGTTTAGTAATGGCTTTCTGTATTAAAAGTTAATGTTTTGGTCCTTTTTGCTGAGATTGGGATAAAACAGTGATAAACAGAATGTGGGGTCTTGGGGCTTTGCTGGGTCCTGGAAAACTTGGGTGTCTTTAAACAGCTGTTTGCAAAGTGTTGTGACTGATTCATTAAAGAACACACATGACTTTGTAGATGTGCACATTAGCTATAGTAAAATTTTCATTTCTTAGACTGACTTGACTTTTTTTTTTTTCAAGACAGGCTTTCTCTGTGTAGCCTTGGCTGTCCTGAAACTCACTCTGTGGACCAGGCTGGCCTCAAACTCAGAACTGAGAGATCCACATGCCTCTGCCTCCAGAGCGCTGGGATTAAAGGCGTGCACCACCACTGCCTGCTTTTTTTTTTTTTACATTTATTATTTTGTGGGCATGTGTTGAGCATGTGGTCAGAGGACATCCTTAGGAGTCGGTTCTCTCATGTGGAGTCTGAGCATTGAACTCCCATGGACTTAGTTCATGTGGCTTTGCAGCAAGTGCCTTACCCAGTGAGATGTGTCAGGCTTTCTTGTCCACCCTGGCTTTCGTGATGATCTGAACTAATGTGTTTTCTTTCTTCCTGGTCTAGGCTGTCGACAAGTACTTCAAGCTGCCTCATGCTTCTAGTAAACCACCCCGAATTTCAGGAAGCCTTGTGGACACATCCTACAAAACATTACGATTTGCCTTCAGGGCCTCACTGAAAACCGCTATCTACCGCATAGCTACCACGTTTGGCGACCATCTGAAGTAAGTTTACCCAGCTGATCCACACTGATGCCTACTCTCAGGAGTTCTCTGAGACTGGGCACAAGACACTTGTGTGTTGAAAGTTTTCTTCTAGGTCCTTGATGGTTGTCTAGGATTAAGAGCTTACGTACAGAGTTGGTGTTTATACTTAAAATTTTTGTTATGACTATCTTTAGGGATTTTTTTCAAGTGACAGAAAAGCAGCAAATGTGTGTGTAATATATATATATATTTTTTTAAGTTAAAAAAATCCCAAATGCCTTTCCAGAAAAGCATATTAAAAATAAGTCTCTTGTTACATTTTGGTCAGAAAACTAAGACTTGGGTACTTGGGTGAGCAGAATCTTCCATAAATGAGGCTGCGGTGCTTTGTGAATCATGCTGGAAAAACACCGGCACATCACAACACCTTCAGAAACTGAACCAGAGAGAAACCACAAATGCCAGGCCTGTTTATATTTAGTTTCATTGATGTTTACTGCTTTGCTCTCATGAAATGCTCTAGCTGGACAGGATGAAGGATGCTGGTTTCCTAACTAAGCTATGTTTATTGTAATTAGAAATGAGTTCTAGAAGGCATGGGAGATTGTTGTGCGTTTTTGTGTCCAGTCAGTAAACAGAATACTGTATACTGCCTGCTTTGTTTACTTGTACTCCCACAGCTCAAGGCAGCAGCAACAGCAAATATTCCTGGCACGCTTTGGTTCTGTGTGAGAATACAAAAGACCTGTAAATGATCCTGTATCATTGAGACATTTATTTAATTGTTTAAAAGCTAAAAGCAAAAGTTATGTATTAATGTCTAGACCCGTGCTGTCCACTATGATGGCCATGGATTGTAGCTTTTTGTTTCTTTTTCTCAAGAATTTTGTGAGGAGCAGAGGTTGGTTATACTAATTACATAGGCGTGTCAGAGGAGGCACAGAACAGTTAAATCTTGTCTGAAAGCACGTTTGCATAGAATGTGAATCTGAAAGGAGGCCTTGTTGTTTTTAAAAATCTTTCCACTTTCCGTTCCCAGCACTAGGCTGCCTCTGGCTTACAGGATGTGCTCCAACCGTACTCTTCCATGATAGAGAGAAGTAGGTGTGACAGAGCAAAAACAGAGCATGATGGAGCGGAGAAAAAGGATTTCTTAGCTAGGAAAGGTTGGAAGATGGCTAACTGAAGTTCTGCCTTTCTCCTTCCGCTGAGCAAAGCCGTACTCTATGTAGCTGGCACCAGCGGGCAGGCAGGACAGAGTGGTACAGTAGCAGGAAGTCCTAGCTCTGGAGTTGCTCAAACACGTGGCTATAGGATTGCCTGTCTGGGTTGTGAGGAAGTTACTGAAGTAGCTCGGCCTAGGCTGGACCTCACAGGTCTTCAGTTACAGAGCCAGGATTCAGACCAGATCTTGCTAATTCTGGTTCTAGCTGTTGTCTCTGCCATGCGGCCCGACCTCTGAACTGTAGGTGGTATTTAGGCCCCCACTTGGCTTTGGTGGGCGTTGACAGAGAAGAAAATGTGATCCTCATATTCGTACAGCCCAGCACCCATTGTGTGTTCTGACTATAACGTTTGATTGTTCACCCAGAGCTCCCACCTGGAGAACCAGGCACAGGGGAGGTCAACTCTTCGGGATTTTGAGACGTGGTTTCTCTGTGTAGTCCTGGCTGTCCTGGAACTTGCTGTGTAGTGCAGGCCGGTCTTGAACTCAGAGATCCTCCTGCCTCTGCTTCCTGAATGCAGGGATTACAGATGTGTGCCACCAGTGTGCTCCACTGGCTCATAATTAGGGAAATTTGCTTTATTTCCAACCTATAACATTAAAATGCAGATCTTTGAGCTGAGGGCAATCTCCTCTCTTGCCTCTCTTGCTAGTGGAGGGGCGAGTTACAGGGCAAGGTGGTGGTTAGTTAGTGACAGTGACCTGGTGAGCACCTCTCCAGGTGTCATCTTTCACAGTAACATGCCTCCAGTGGTTTCTTCATGGTATCAGGAAGCAGAGGTGATCGGAGGCATTATGGGCTAATCTGTAGGAAAGGCATTAGAACAAGACTTGTGGTACTGACAGGGTATCTTCAGCTGTCTGAAAGTTTATCATTCAGACGATTCTATTACTAATTAAGAACTAGAAAAACAGCATTTTTATTGTATTCAGTTTTTATCCAAAAGCTACGAAGAACTTATGTACTAGTTGTAGGATGTGTTTGCCTGCCTTCTGTCAAGGTAATGTGCTTTTGTGATGGAGAGCTGAGGGAACATGGAATCCCCATCCATAACAGTGTATGTTCAAAGGGAGAAATAAATCCAAGCCACCAAGCTGTTACCTTTGAAAACGATTAATGGAATCTATTGTGTTTTAAGCAAACATTTTAGTTTAAAGGATTTTATATTAAAGGCAATTCAAATACTCCACAATTCAAAGATAATGTTCAAATCTGGTTTGAATAAAATAATAAAATCCAGAGAATCTACTGCAGGGCCTGGAACTCTGCACAGCAGGTTCCAGAGTAGAGCAGGTTAGAGTGATGCCTGCACTTGTCAGTCTGAATTTGCTCTGGTCTTTGAGAAGGTAGAAACATGCCATTGCCCAATGCAAGCCCATGCCGCCATTAGATTAAAAAGGGGTTTCATCCAGTTTTTTCAGAAGTACTAAATAAGTGAAGATTTCTATTCATTTTTAATTGTTTTGAAAAATATTGACTTTGTGCTCTGTGGTTCACTTAATATGCTTAATGTGAAATAAAGCTTATGCTTTGCATTTATGTTTCATTTAGTGCTGTGCAAGCATCTGCAGAACATCAGAAAAGACTTCAACAGTTCTTGGAGTTCAAAGAATAGTTAAGTAATATAAACTGTGTTCATTACCCTGCTGATACAACTACAGATGGGACAGTAAATGTTCAGCATTCTTGGATCAGAAGAAAATGGACTAATTAGATGCTTCCTTTGTCGTGGTGCCTGCTTTGAAAACTATACTTTAATGGGAGAAATCATGGAAAGAAATTCTCAGCAGAATAACCGAAAACTGCCTTTTCTGTACCGAATGCTTTTTGTGTGTGTGGGATAATAAAATCTTTATTCACCTTCACAGGAGCATCTGTGGCAGCCAAACTGTCTCTTGCTCATATAACTTGACAATAATCACTCACAATTTTTTTTTTTAGAATTTACTTTTGAAAAGAGTGGAGCCAGCTCCAAAGTTAAAGTAGGGTGACTTGATACACAATCTTTCTTAATCTCTCTAAGAGGATAGCTCTTTGTAAACTCAAAATATATAAACTTAAGATTAGTTTGTTTACTAAAGGATAAAAATGGTAACAGCGGAGAAATATTCACAGTAAAAATATTGTCTACAGGACATATTTTGTTAATCTGTTAGGTTGTGTTTTTGTTTCCAGGGACAAATTAAATTTGCATGATTGTCCAAAAAGAATCTCGATTTACAGATGCTAACTCTATATAAAGGAATGTGGAAAAATTGAGGTTTTAAGTTACACAATTAAACATTCACATTTGGCTTTTGAAAAATAATTGAGCAACATCTATGGATTCATTTTGTATCATGCTAGTAAGCGATGAGAATGTGGGCATTTCCTAGCCAGTTTTGCTTTCTTTTTTGAAACATTAAGCAGTTGGCAGAGGTTTCCAGATGAGGGGAAAGGTTTTGTAAGAGGACCCGGGAGCTTCCCATTCCCCTACTGTCTGTCTTTACCAGATCAAATTATGCTGTGAGTCCAGTCCATCTTCACACAGGGAGCAGCCTCTGCTGCGTTAGCTGGCTAATTAAAATATAATAGGACAATCTTTAGAGCCAGAAACACAGTCATCAAACAGCAAGCGAAGCCAGGATGTCAGAAGCGTCACTGTGCTCAGGAGCATGTACGCCCAAATGTGCCTGCGGTCACTTTATGACTTATTAGGTCATTTCTTGGGAGATGAAACATTGGAAGTCCTGCTGGCAGATAGTCATTAGGCAAGCTTTGGCCCAAATCCTCCTTCATAAATCCTTTTCTGTTATCTTTTCCCTCTAGGGTCCCCCAAAATTTCCTTTAAAGTCGCACAGTATCGTATATGGATGTTAACTATGGTGTGGATGCCTAGACTTTGGCATCGTTGACATGTTATACCTTTACGGTCGTATATGTTAGCTGCAGACACCAGTGCCCCTCCACCCAGCACGTGGCAAGTTATAAATGAATCCTGCTAGCCGTAATTAAAAGTGACTCGACGGCAGAGTCCCTCACCTCACCGGCTAAGCTTCAGGGCTTTAAGTCCCCACTCTACCTCGTGTGTGAGGAGGACCTCATCTTTTTTCTTCCTTTCTTTCTTTCAGTGTGAAAGTTGGGTTTCCAGTATTTAGTTTCTTACAGATGACCAGAGAAGCACGGCTAGATAACGGAGAATGCTTGTACTCCATGAGTTAAAGCCATAAGCTTTGTGTATTCCCTGGCTGCCTCTGACTGAAGTACTTCAGAAGACAGACCCTTAATCTTGTGTCTCCATAAAGAACTGTGTTTTGTGTGTGTAACTCACAGCAGAGGCAATCCTTTCAACTAGGTCTCAGTCCAATGAAATGTCTGCTTTGCTTTAGGTTCTTGCTGTCCCCACGCCCTCTGTGTGAACGTGTATTTGATAGCAGTATGGATATTTCTGGAGGTGCTGTGTATGAGGTCCAGACCACACCATGTCTGCCCGGTGGGGAGCAGGACACTGCCCATTCCCTCAGATTTGTATGGATCTGGGAAGGTGAGGGGTCATTATTTTTCTGTTGGTGGTCAAGGGCATTCTTAAAAGGCACCCTTCCTTCTGCACACAAGGAGGACTAGCGGGGGGGCCCACAGGAGAGAAACATTTCCTTGGGTGAAGTTGCATCCTGCCGACAAACCTGCTGATGTGATGGCCTGAAAATGAGTGCTTGAAAGCCTTTCTCTGGCTGTCAGTACAAAACACTGTCAGTGTCTATGTGTGTGTGTCTAATGGGGCATACAAAGCCACAGAGCTGCTTTTGCAGAGTAGTGGGAAACTTCGAGAATAAACCTTCTCCTGGTGAGTAGACATGAGAAGTCACACTGGGTCCCTGTGCTGGGTTTCCTCCTGGGCGCTTTGTGTGTCTTCCTGTTAATATTTATGGCAATCTGTTTATATCCTTATGTATGATACTGAATTGGTAGAAAAATAAAGTGATAATTCTTAACTGAGACTGTTCATTGAACTCTGAATCTCTGTGTATTTCCTTAACCACTGCCATTTAGCCTCATAATTGTTGCTGCTAAAACTTGTACAGGATTAACTTTTGAATAACCAGCTTTTTCCCTTAAACAGACTGATTTGGTGGGTGATTCTGTGTTTAGTAGTAATTTCAAAGAGCCTCAATTCTGAAAGTCTCTCTATCTCTCTTGGCTCTTTACTCCAAAACTAAACAAAGAGTGCAGGTGCTGAAAGCCGTCTCTTAACAGAGGTTTCTTGCCAAAATCGTATTTCTAAACAGATCATATTCCCCCAGCCAACAGTTCTGTCAACTTTACTTAAATTAGTTTGAACTTCACCTTTAGGTATTAAGGCTGACTGTTGCTCTCCCAAACCCTAGTCATCTTTAAAATCAAATCACTTAATACATTCATCAGTCACCAACCCCACTATTTTTAGCAGATTGTTCACTGCCATTCTAATTTTTATGACTGTTTTAGCCTAATTAGTTTGAAGGCAGCGCTTTCTGTGTGGCCTCAAGCCCATGGTAATCTTCCTGCTTTAGGCCCCGGAGTGCTAGGTTCTATACCATTCCTGACTTCTGCTCACTGTTTAAAACTAAGCTGATGTTATAGAAGGGTGCCACCATGCCCAGCGAGAATTTGCCATCACAGCAGTGAGGAGGCTGTTCCATCACCATTTCCTGATGTTTGCTTCCTTTACCTGACTTTTACCTTTTGCAAGCTTTCTATCCTTTCTTTAAAAAATTAAATTTAGCCGACCACGGTGGCTCATACCTTTAATCCAAGCATTCGGGAGGCAGAGGCAGGTGGATCTTTCTGAGTTTGAAGGTAGCCTGATCTACAAAGAAAGTTCCAGGACAGCCAAGGCTACACAGAAACCCTGTCTTGGAAAACCGAATAAATTGCATGTGTGTTTCTGTGTGAGTATAAAACCCTGTCTTGAAAAACAAAAGTAACAAATTTATTTGTGTTAGTTTGAGTATATGTGATGAACAAATTTATTTGTTAGTTTGAGTATATATGATGTGAGTGCAGGTGCCAGTGGAGGCCAGAAGAGGGCGCTGGAATTACAGTGGCTGTGAGCTGTTTAATGAAGGTGCTGGGAACTGAACTCCCCATCTCTGAAAGAGCAACAAGCTGCTGAACCATCTCTGTAACCCCTAAGCTTCCCAGTCCCAGCTCTTTAGAGTGAGCTTATTTAATGTTCCCATATATCTCCATGTATTTCTGCATGATCCCTCACTCTGCCCCCACACAATGAGTGTTTTGTCATTCTCGTTTTGGGCCTCATTGGCATTAAATCAAGCTGAGCACAGCCTCCCCTTGAACACTGAGCTCTCCTCTACCATGATTTCAGTCACCAGCCTTAGTAAGCTTTTGTCGGCCATCCTGAAATGCAGGGATGGGTCGTTTGGATTGTCTTTGTCAGCTGCAGCTTCCTGGGGCATCCTTAGCTGTCCTGGTGCCAGCCCTATGCACTGTGAGGCGAACAGCTGTGTCTCTGCTGCTTGCTGTTGGGTTCTTGTGTCCTATCTGGCCTGTGCCCACAGCTTTTCCTGGATACTGGTGAGTATCCTCATGAGTGATCCCCTCGGTAGATCCCTTGGGTTGTTACGGGCAGAGATGGCTTCTTTCAATGTTGAAGTCATGTTGACTCTTGATTGGCTTGTTCTTTTGTCTCTAAGTGTATTGGTGATAGTCTGTTGGTTCCTTCCTCACAGTAGCATCGCTCTTAGTTACAGGACAGTTTCCACCCCATATTAGCATAAACTTGGAGAGGAAAGTTGATTTCAAGCCACAGAAAGTGTCAGCCCAAGTATAGATGGAATCCAGGCCCCTGAAGAACTCAAACACTGTCAGTATCTCAGCGGTTCTCTGCTTGCGTCTTGTGTCCCGCTGACTGGCTTTCAGCTGCGCTGTAGCTCCTGAGCGTACGTGGAATGGAAACTGAGCAGCTGTTCCCGAATGCCAGCTAAATTCCTGACGGCAGGAAATTGGTCCAAGTAGATCAAGTGTCCAGATATGCTGGAGGGGAGGTCATAGGTCACGTGGTGTTAGAGTGGCTCCTGAGAGGCCTACCTTTACTGACAAAAGAAGGCCGAGACAGTTCCCAGAGACCCGGGAGACAAAATCTGGGCCTTCAAAAGAAAGGATGACATGGAAGACTAGTTGTTGAGTTAAAACGATGTCTACAGTACCTCCAGGTCTGAGCAGAGGCTGTTAGGAATCCTCCGGAGGAAAGCCATATCCTAGGATCCCGAGACCCTCTGGCAACAGTGTGAACCCACCGCTCACCATTCATAGCAGCCGGGCACCGGAAGACAACTTGAGTGAGGACCAACAAAAGCAGCAGACAATCCATAGATGTGCAGGGTTCCCAGCAGAGCTGTCAGGCATACTAAAGTAATTAAGATTCCTCAGCGAAATTATAATTCAGTAGTGAACTGGAAACCACGTAGATACACACAATTCACAGCATTCATTTTTTTGTTTAGACAAAGATGATTTGAAAAAGCCACAAAAAATTCTAGAACAGCAAATTAATCCTGAAGGGAGTTTACTAACTTAGAATTTCATATTCAGCTTCGGTTTTGTTTGTTTGTTTGCTTGTTTGAGACAAACAGCTCAGAATGACCTACAACTTCTTGTCTGCCTGTCCCCACCTCCCCCCACTGGGATTGCAGGCATCTGACATCATGGCGGGTTTGTGCTTTGCTAGGATTGACCCCGTGTGTGCTAGGTATTTAGCTCCAACTGAGCTACATCTCCAGGGCCCAGACCCAGCATTTATCTTCAAACACGCTGGGGTAAATAATAACATTTCAGGCAAAAACTGAAAGTCTTACATGAAAGGAACTTCTCTATGAAGCCGTTCCCCCTCCAACCCTCAACCGGGAAAACAGAGATGGTGAAGGAAGCAAGAGAAGAAAATAGGCGTGACTATTGGCTCATAAAATAATGTCTTGTGGGGTTTTAGTATGTAGAGGATTAGCACGCACATCCAGGGACAGGTAAGTCAGCATTTGGAAGTGAGAATGCTCTCAGGTCTTTGCATTGACTGGTAAATGAGAAAGAGCAGTGAGCGGTGTAGCTGGTCGCTGTGTAGGTCAGGCTGCTCTCAGCTTCTAAGCGCCGCGACCCTCAGCCTCTGCTACCATGCCCAGTGTGGAAGGTTTGGAGACCTTGAAAGAGGTGCACTTGGTTCAAGGATAGCCGCTACAAGAATTAAGAGAGAAAGAATGAAGTTAAAAGAGTTTAAAGCCAGGGATAGTGGTGCATGCTTTTTTTGTCCCAGCACTCAGGAAGCAGAGGCAGACAGATCTCTGAGCTTGAAGCCAGCCTGACCTACAGAATTCCCATCCAGGGCTTCAGAGAAATCCTGTCTTGAAAAACAAAACAAACACTTAAAATAAGACCAAAATTACATTAAATATAAGTGGACTAAAAGTTCCAATTCCCAGCACTTAGGAGGCAGAGGCAGGTGGATCTCAAGTTCAAGGCCAGTCTGAGTTCCAGGATAGTTGGCTATACAGAATAATCCTGTCTCAAAAAAAATAAAAAAAAAAAAAAAAAAAGGCAAGAGCCACCCTTACACAACTTAAAAATCTGTTTGCTGTTAATGAAAAGACACGTGAAAGTATAAGGCTTGATATGTTGGAAATAAAAGACAAGGAAAAGATAAAAATGAGAGCATTTATAAAGCCAAGTAGTCCATATTTTGACAAAGTATACCTAAAGGAAAAAAAAAAAAACAAAACCAAAAAACAGAAAATTTTCAATAAATAAGAAAAGTGCTTCAAAAAAAGATTCAGTTCCTTACAAAGACCTTAATATACCCACTAACAGCCTCAAAGTAAAACACATTAGCAACGCTGACCTGGTCTTTAAGGCACCTGGTTCTCGAAGTGGCTCAAGGGAAGGTAGTGTTCAGCATTGGCCTTAGGGAGTGGAGCTTTGAATACCATGAACTGCACTTAGCCATCAGAGAAGGGCTGCTGTGTGGAGAGAGTAAAACTCAGAGTCGCTGGAAAGAGTGAAAAAGATGACAAGATCTCTCCTAACCCTGAACAGGACTTTTCAGTTCTACCAACTGGTATGTGCCAAAGGAAATTAAAGGGCCGTACTCTCCGAAAGCCATCGCTACAAGATGCTTATGGCACTTTCCCTAATAGTCTCAAATGCAGGGTTGAGGTGGGCAGCCCTGGCTGGCCTGGAACTTGCTGTGTCAAGCAGCCGGGCTGGCTTTGAACTCACAGAGTTCAGGAGGCCTCTGCCTCCTGAGTGCTGGGATCAAAGTTGCACCAGCCCTTGTTTCTTAAAGACACGATTTCCCTCTGTAGTTGAGGCTGGCTTAAGACATTGCTATTCTGGAGTTCCAGGTGTGCCGCGTCATGTCAACTAATTTTTCAGTGCCAAGAGTCATCCAAAGAGCAAACTGCAGCGGTGTAAAAGCATCTAGACAAAGGAACACACGCCAGGCTTTTACGCGCATTTCAAGAAAAGGTAAAAGTTAATGGTAACAGAAGTCAGCATGGTGCTAGGGGAGGGCTTTGTGTACTGACTTGGAAAGGAATGAGGCAAACATCTGAAGTTCTGGAATGTCTTAATTTGGGTCATGTGAGTATATATACCTCATTGAACTGAGGATGTAAGATTTGTATACTTGAATGTACTCAGTGCCTCAGAGGGGGAAAATACATGGAGCCTAACAAAACTATAAGGAAAAAGGGACAAATCAGCAATTTTATATTTTCTGGTTTTAGATAGGACAAGATGTCAGAAATCATGGATGTAGAATATATGAATGGTGTGATTGGCAAATGACTAATATACACACAAGGAACGCTCACTGCGCCTGCCTCCAGAGGAACAACCATTCGTGGCGAGATATTTATATAGACTGTTTACATCTGGCCAGATGGTGGTTCATAGAGCAAGTCTCAACCAACTTCTGAGGATTAAAATTACTTTTTTAATGTTTCACCAAGCA